AAACAATTTCGATTTGTTGCTAAAAGGTTTTAAATATATTTTTAACGATATCCACAATGACAATATGAGGATCGTTTTCGAATTTTGAAAGATTTATTGTTGTTGGAAATGGCCTGAATTATGGAATATTTTGATTAAATATAGGATGGATAATTATGAATTCCATGGACCGCGAGCGGGTCGAAAATTGTCGATTTCATGTATTTTTGGCTGATAGGGTGCATATTGACGAACATTATATTTTTAGGGGTACCTGGCGATAGATCGCTTAAGATCCAGGAGAGTTTCTTTTTTTCCGGACGGAGAGCGATAGTGTTTCAACTCGTTAGACGGTTTTACATTTCCTTTTATATCCTAAATCGAAAATTTTTGAAATTATATTTTTTTTTGCTCTTTCTTTATTTCCTTCTTTTCTTTTTTCCCGTGTTTGGTTTTCTTTTCTATTTTTCTTCTATTTTTTTTCTTTTCTAATTTCTTTTTATTCTTTTTTTTTCATATGATTCTGAAATATTATAAATATATATATAATTCAAAACTCATGAATTATATATTTATTAATATTAAAGAATTTAATATATATAAATTTAAATATTATATATATATATATTGAAATACAATTTAATAATTTTGAAAATATTTAAATTATATTAGAATATAAATTTTATTTAATATATATTAATACTAGTTTGAATAATACTATTTTAATTATATTATTACCATTAAATATATAATAAAAACAAATTAAATATTTTTTTAACAATTAATATTAATAATATAAATTAATTATAAAAATCTATTTTAGATATTATATTAAAAATATTATAAATTAATTAATATACCAACTATTTAGAATTAGAATATTATTTAAATCAAATAGTAATAACATATTATATTAAATACTATATAAAAATTGGATAAACATATTAATTTTAATATTTAATTTTAATTAATTATTATTTCTATAGATAGAATTAAGAAATTAATATATAGAAAGATTATTTTTTTAAATTATAAGAATTAATAAACCCCATATTTCAATTATTTAAATTTTGTCCCCCCCTTTTTCGTTTTTCCATCTCTTTAAATCTTACCTTAGACTTAAAATATATTTTATGCATCCGGTTTACATATCCGAATTCATGTTTTATATTTTTTATTGCATAATTTTCCATTTTTTTTATTTTCAATCCAAATATAAAAATAAGAAATATATATGCTTCATTATTTTTTTAATATGGCTTATCGAATAATTATTAATTTTCATATATTCCCTCCTTAAAATATTTTTAAATTATATCTATTATATTTTTATTTAATATAAAATTATAATATATAAATTATAAAATATAAATATAATATATTAAAGAAATCTATTAATTTCTACAACAATATTATATATATAATATTTTACATTCATAATAATAAAATACATTGAAATAATTAAAAATCAATTAACATACAATATAAATATAGATATATATAAAATAAATCAATATACTTATAATAATATATATTTGTAAATATATATAATTTAATGCTTAATAATTATAATTTAATTTCCATTAAAATATATATACATATACATTTTTACATAGAATATATTTATTAAATTAAATCATATTTATAATTTTTATGAAATATAATTTAATAAATATAATAACTTTAGAATATTCATATAATAATATATAATATATAAATAAAATCATTATATACATCATTATATAATATATATGTCCAATTAATATTTAAACATATTTTTATTATTATATATGTATATTTTATTTAACTATATATATTTAAATCATTCTATTTCTATTAATACAATATCAAATTATTTAAGTTCTATTTCTTAATACCAACTATATAATTAATATATTTTTTTCTTCAAAATACATTTCAATTTAAACTATATAAATATACATTAAATATATTAATAAACCATTCAACTACAAATTTTCAAATAATTAAATCAAACCTAATATTTATTAAACTCAAAAAAATAATAATCAAAATCTCAAGTAATTTCCTATAAAATTTATTTAATCAATTCAATATTAATTGCTAAACATAAATATATAAATATATATACTAACAATAAAACCCATAACCAAAAACAACATATGCAATAAACACGTATTTTATAAATATATTCAAATGTAATTCAATTATAAACAAATATACACAATTATACTCACAAAAACAAAAATAAGCAAGTCGAACAAATACTTACCAAAAACACGGTTTCGAAATAATTCGAAATTAAAAATATAACATAAATTATATTATTTCTAAAACCTTATTCTTAAATATTATATATACCTAACTCAATATCCTCCAATTTCCATCAAAACAAGCCCCAAACTTTACAATTTCACAATAATTAATATACACAATTTCAATTAAATTTCACAAAATCATAAAACTAAATCTATATAATATCAATTTCAAAAACAAACAAACCAACGAACAAACAAACAAAAAGACAAAGACAAAGACAAAAACAAAAACACAAACACGCAGACACAAACACACAGACACACAGACACGCAAACACACAAACACCCAGACACACAAACACACAGACACACAGACACACAGACACAGACAGACAGACACACAAACACAGACAAACAGACACAGACAGACACAGACACAGACACAGACACAGAGACAGAGACACACACAGACACAGACACAGACAGACAGACACAGACAGACAGACACAGACAGACAGACGCAGACAGACAGACGGACAGACAGACAAAGAAGCAGATACCAGAGACAGAGAGACCAACAGACAAATAGAGACAGAGAAAGACACCGACAGAGACACGCCTCCGGCGCGCAGCGCGCCGGATTCTGATGTCGACATGCCACAGGCTTCGCCTGCGCACGTGCACGCGTCCGACTCCGAGCCCGAGAGCCGTGATGCAGACGGGCTGCAAGAACGCGCGTGCGAGCTCTTGGCTGCGCGTGCCCCAGTTGCACGCGGCCGCTGGCCGCTTGTCCCCTGGCAACGGTGGTTTGTCACGCGCTTGTCTCGGCACTGCCCCGCCGCTCTCCTTGCCCTCCACGACGGCTGTATTCTGGCCCGCGGCGAGGAAGTGGTTTCGGCGGCCTCTTTGCCTGGTTTGGATTGGTAGTTTGGATAGGTTTGGGAGGTTAGGGGGTGATTTCCCATTCAACTTCAACATAAACCAGGGGTTCAATCCCCAAACCACCAATCCAAACCAACAATGAGGGGTAAGTTGAGGCGGGTGCAAAAAAAGGGCCGAGCCCTCAGGGGCAAGGTCCAGGCTGTGGTGGGTGTGCCAAGAACAGAAAATCTTATAGAGCCCGCGCCAGCAAAACATTTTTTGCAACTCAGGCATCTTTATCATTTCATATGTATCAAAAAATGTATACTCGTCGCGTACGAAAAACATGTTGCCGTTCTCTAATCACAGGTCGCGAGACGCACTGAGGGCCGGGCTGGTCGCGATAAGGTCACGCCAAAGAGTCAATAAAAGGCGGTCGCCTAAGCAAGGTCCGCGGGCTGTTGGCCTCAAAAGATCCACACACGCAGTTGTTGCAAGCGCAAGCGAAAACACGATCGACCAGAAAACATCCTGGGTGCAAGCAAAGTCGAGCCGATTTCGCCCAAAGCATTGGGAAAACACCACTGGTCGCAACAATCGGCCGCGGCTCACAGCTTCTCGCATCGCCAAACTCTCGGAAGATGGGCCAAGATTTCAGCCAAAATTGCTACGGACAAGCAGATATATGCCCCGACTCTTCATTTGGAAGACACAACGGCTTCGTTCAAAGCCCGGACCATTTTTCCGAAATCCCGGATATTTCGATAGTCGCACTCCAAATATTTCGGGAAATGCTGTCGTCGAAATATCCGGAATATTTCGAAGAAAATGGTGGATGGCTGCGATTCCCGGACCGCTTTCCCGAAATATCCAGAATATTTCGGGAAATCGGTCCCTACAAAAAAATAAGCCACTATGACTTCCGAACATATGCCGGGGTAACCCGGACAGATTTGGGCAAGTGGTCCGTAGGAAATATGAAGCGGTTACATTTTCCAGGGACAATCCAAACCAATTTTCCGAAATATCCGGGATTTTTCGGAAACACGATCCGGAAAAACGCGCACAAGTGCAACGAGCAAGTTTCACGGTTTCGTTTTATAGAGTAAATATATAAATACACATAATATAGTATTAATTAATTATATTTCAATAACCATATTTATCCATCTATCATTGTTTTATTCAATCAATTTTATACAATCACACCAACCATTCAACCAACATATATACAATAAAACAACTACTATCATACAATATTATATATAATCCAAACTTTTATATATAAACAAAATTTACATTTATATTAAAATACACAATATATTATATAATTATTCACAAATCTTAAAAACATAATACCCATACAAAAATACATTTTTAACAACACATACTTAATTCATATCATATTAAACTTATTTATGTATTAAACAACATCAATTAATTTATGTTTATATATTTGTTTCATATTTAAATTATAATTTATAAAATATCAAAATTCAAATATAATATATCAATCACATCAAACCATATCATTATTGAAATACACATTTATTCGAATAAGTTCAAACATACAAAATAAATTACAACACCATTTAAATCTATTTTAACCAATTCAAATAAGAACATATAATTTTTAATATCTTTCTTATATCATTCCTACATATTTGAAATATGTATTTTAAATTTCACCAAACCACAAAATATATTAACTATACAGAAATAAATTTATTAAAACAAATTAACGATTTTTCCATGTTATCAATTAAACCATTTATATTCTGCAATATTTCAATACTAATTCATAATAATAATTATAAAGTTCAGCATATAATTTTATTTATTGATAGAGTAATTTGCATGCCATATTACCAATTATCAATTTGTTGAGTCTTTGGTTTGAATAATTGTGAACTAATTCATTTT